TAATATTTTTTCAGGCTTATCGATAAATCTTCATGAAGTGAAACCGCCCCAAAATGTTTGCTATTACAACTTCGGATACAGTAAGATCAAAAATCAGCGTAAAAAAATCAAATGTTTTTTTTTTTTTAATGGAAAAAAGAGAGAAATGGTTATGCTCACTGTTTGCTAGTATAATAAATCACTTTAGATATATTGGTTTTTTTATATTATAAAAAAAGGAAATTATTTCAATATTATCATATGTCACTTTTTGAGGATGTTGGTATTATTATCATTTGCCACAAGCCAGAAAATCATACACAGTTCATTATATATTTATTTTTGGGTGGGTCCCGAAACTATGCTGTACTGCTACGATTAGCTCGAAAAATCCTCTTCGTCGATGTAGAACTTTTTTCTTTTTTTTCAGTTGGTTGAAATGGCGACGGTACACACCATCCAGTCACGATCACATATTTTCCATTTGAAAAAAATGCAAAAAAAAAATAACCGGAACGCTTAACAATATTTCTCTTGTTGGCGATGTTCTTTTCTTTATTTTCTCTGCTTGTTGTTTGGTTATCAAATTCACTTAACGTAGTAATTAAATGCTTTTTATTGAGAATCAATTTAATTAACTTGCGCTTTTGTGTGTGTGTTTGTTGGACTGAATTTAACATAAGATAACAAAACTTAGTTTGATCACGATTACTTTTATTTCTGTTTTTGAGCGTAGTTGCGAGAGGAAAAACATTGGTGTTATGTGAGATATTGATATTCGATAGTTTTCGTTTTTGTTTGGCATTCAAATGCGCAAAAAAAAATGGAATATTAGGAACACTGGCTATAGGAAAATGCTTCAATTTTCAACGAAAAAAATAAACCGTTTTCAACACAATGCTCAGCCAACTAATGTCAAACACATAACGTTTTAATGGTATCATTTCAGTTTTAAGAGTTGATTTTTTTTGTTGTTGCTTCAGTACAAGTGGTGAATTTCAAATAATATGAAAGACATCAATTCGGTGAACACTTGAAAACGCGAAAATTACGCGCGACAGAGTGAGTATTGTTGTGTGTGTGTGTTTGTATGTATCAAAAAATATATATATATATATGTATATATGTCGTATGTATTATTATTCTTGTGTTGTTGTTGTTTAGTGTTAGGAATATATGCGATAGAAGTGAACACTACATGAGGGTGAACATCGTAACGAAAAAAATGAAGAAAAGAACGCGCGCGGAATATTGTTTTTCTATTGGAATAGACGACATTCTCGTTGCGTGGTTGAAAGCCAACTGGAATACAGATAATTGGCGTTGCACGAAGCAACATGTTGGTTGTTGTTTGAAATCGTGCCGAGCGCGCGATTACGTCCACTGTATATGCCAACAGGCACAAGAACACACTTCAAAAGAGCGAGAGCAGCAGCAGCAGCAGCGGTGGCGGCAGCAATGGCAGTGCCACCATCAACTGGAAATAGTTCCTCCGAACGATGGAGAGAAAAATCTCAACTGCTCTGTGTGTACGCATGCAATCGTTACACAACATATTTCCCTTCGTACTAATGTTTTCTTTCTCTCTCTCTCTCTTATTCTCTCACTCGCTCACTCATGGCTTACTCCACACACCATCGAGAGACTGCTTCGATCGGTGTGTGTATCCCATCGTTCGGTATGTTCCTGTCGTTTTCATCCACTTTCGTCGTCGTCGTCGTTCATTCGTACTATATGTCGTGCGTCTTTGGTGTACTCCATTGCTGCTGCTGCCGCTGGTACGTATCAGCAGCTTGGAAATTGTGTCGTGTGTTTTATGTACTGTACTCTTCCTCTTTGTTTCTGTCTGCCTCTCGCACTCTCTCTCTCTCTCTCTCTCTCTCTCTCTCTGGGCACACGATTCAAAATGAATATATATGGGTCTATAGCACTACATTTCCTTTCACACGTTTTCCTTTTTCAGTGCACACTTTTTCCACACACAGAGTCTTCAGTTCGAGCACAAAAAAGGATTGGAATATGAAAACAAAGCCCAGCAAACTATGATAGATGATCGCAATGGAATCAGAATATGGGTAGCGTCGCGCTCTTTCACACAGTTTCATTTCCGTTTTTCTTTCTCCGCTCCACCACTTGTCATCATCATCATTACCGTCGCCGTCGTGGTCGTGTCGCCCTTTCTTTATTTTCTCACAGAGCAAATCTTTGTGGCTGGCGCTGTCGTTAGTTGGACATTTTCCGTTTTTAGCACTACATGAAATTTAGAGCTACTAATCTGCTTTTTTTTATTAATACTTTTTGACTACTCAAACAAATGTTGGTGAATTTGAATTATATGCTCATATTTTTTATTTGATTTAAAACAGGTGCACTAATGAAGATTTAATATATAACACTTCATATATAAATAAAAGATTGACATACAATTTATTTATTTTTTCCAAACTATAATTTATCATACATTTTATTTGTTTCTCGCATAACTTATAACTAATTCTTTCAATGAGTTTCGAATAAATTGAATTTTCTGGCTATAATTTCTCTCATAACCTCAGGAATTATTTCCTCGTCAGAAAATTCACAATAAAAATTGTCCATTTAGGATTTTACGACCGATTTTGACAAGTTTTAAAATAAAATTGAATTCTATTTCAATCACAATAAAACATCAAGACAACTTAGATTAGATACATTTCATGTAGTGCGCAAAAAACTAGTTTGTTGTGGCAACAACAAAATAGAATTGATAAATGAAATCTCAAGAACGCAGAGCGGAGCGAAGCGAAGCTTTGCGGTCTTGTTTGTTATTCTAATGCCAGTTCTGTCTTTTGTTTGCTTCCTATTTTTTTTTTACTGCTTTGTTCTGTTATTTCGAACATATTCTTGGTCTTGTAAGAGTGGCAGTTGTCTTTGAATATCTGTGGCGTGCTCCTTTTGTTTCTTCTTCGCATTTACAAATCGGCTATACAAAGGCACACACACACACATGAAAAAAAAAATCACTATAACTAAACAAAATAAAATAAAAAGAGATGAAGAAGAATATTTCAGGCGTTCGGCGTGCCGACCGTGTGTTGTTGTTGTGCAACTGACGGGGAACAGACATCCATGTTGAAAATCAGAAATGAGCTTACAAATTCACAAACAAATATGGACCAGCCGACATATCACTGAACAAAAGACACTGCTAAACATTGTACAGAGGCTTTTAGACTCTCTCTCTCCCTCTCTCTCTTGTATTCATTTATGTTTTCCTCGAATGTAAGGTTTTTCTCTCATTCTCTATACTGTGTCTGTGTATATTTTTTTTTGTGTGAATAATTGAGCATTTAAAATCAACATACATGATTCGCCTGCTGACAACAATCGCCTGCGGTACAAGTCATGGCATAAATTCTTTTATTCCGCATATTTCTATTTTCTATCGTTCTCTTTCTCATTGGATTCACATTCATTTCGACATTATTACGTGTAACGGTATTTTCTGTCTGTAAGTAAATGAAAAGTTTTCGAATGACAAATGCAACATTAATTAAAAGATAGATGTTGTTATTGTTTTTTCGGAGAAGAATCTAGAGTTTCTGGTTACAACGGATATCCGTTGCTGAAGAGTCCATATTTCAACTGGGATGTTTCCCAGCCTCTCTGATCGTCTGTACAAATAGATAGGAAACGTCAAACAAGAACAATAAAGCGGCACCTGGCGACTGGTTGGAGAAATAGAGAATCATGCACATAGTTTGCTGTAACAAGTATGCGTCTGTGTTAGTTCTAACGTTGAAAGCATGACACATTGCACTTAGTCCCCAGGTGCCGCTGTATTTTTTACTATTTTCATGATCAGAAAGGCTGGTCAAATGTACTGTGTACCAGCCGATTAACTGGTGACGTGCATCGCTGAGTAATTGCTTCATTTGAAATAAAAAATATGGATATTAACCCATTTTCTACCAAGAAATTTTTTTTTCGATTTTTTTTTTATGAAATTTAGGTGTTCCCCGAAGTTTCCACATTTTAAATTTTCACAATTTTCCGGCACTGTCCGGAAAACTGCAAGTTGGAAAACATTTTTCGAACTTTTCCCAACACACATTCAAAACGGCATTTGAAAATTCCAAGCCGTTTGATCAGGATAGAAGAAAATCTAAAATAAGTCATAAAAAATCAGCAATTTTTGCGTCCTACAAATAGGACGCTGGTACAAAATGGGTTAAAATGAATTAATTTACGGTCCAAAGAAATGGCCTAAAGACTCTTAAAATTTTCTTAGAAAAAAAAACAAATACAGTAGCCATGTAGTGCTAAAAAAAACTGGATGTAGTTACGCAACTCTCAATTGCAAGATCCACTGGTCAAACTAGTTAATAATCTTCATTCTAATGGAAAGGATTATTACATTCAAAGTACTCGAAAATGTCCAAAATAAATTAGCCCTGCAGGTGTAGATAATTCATTTAACAAGTTGCAGACGAAAAAATAGCTGTAATTTTTTTCGTCCAACTTCAAGGAATAGCACTGAAGTCTCGCTGTTACTTTCATTTAGTTCATATTTCACGTACAGCATCGCAATTCGTGCACGTCATGAAATTGGATTTGTTTGTCACGGAAATGAAGTGCGTTCGCTTTTTGCAATCTCTCTCAAACTGTGTGACACATTTGATTGCGGGAGAGTGTAAATAATTCACGAGTGTATTATTGTTAAATAAGAGCTCATTCAAAGCAATGAAATATATGTAGAGATATATATGGTCATTTACAAAACATAAACCCAAAACAAAACGAGAGAGTAAATGAGAGTGGTGACCAGTGCCAAGTGCGGTGGTGTGTCCTACATTTCGGCTATGGTCGTATTTGCAATCGACGTTGCACATAATTCTCTTCATAGCCTAAATGTCAGAGGAAGTGAGAGTGATTGAGGGATTTTGGCATCTCCATAATCGCCATGTGCTCCGCCGCTAATTGGCATTTCGGTCAATAAATAAACATGAATGTATGTAGAAGTGGTAGTGAGAAATATTTACCATTACCATGGTGATGTATGGGCATGTCGCGGTTTCCGGGTCCTGGTGCAAAATAAACTCGTTTATCTGGTACCTGAGTCATTGATGAATAAGTTAATGTAAATACTACAACAAAAACGCCCGCAAACACTAAGCTCAAGAACAAAGACACAAATATGCAAACAATGCGCTTTCGCTTGCGCGTCGACTCAGTTTCGCCATCTTCCGTGTCCGCTTCGTCAATCTCGACCTCATTGCCGTCCATGGATTTCTTTTTCGATGACGATTTTTTCTTACTGCCCCCACCACCGCCGCTCGCCGACAAAATGGAGCTTTTCCTACGATTTTGCCGATATGCATGCATAACAACGTCGTAATCTAAATCGTTGCCATCATAATTTGATGTCTTTTGATCGTATGTACTAGATGATAGGCGTGGGCTTTTTTTGACCTCACTAATGCTTTCACGTCGACGCGGTGATAGCTCATAGTCGGCAACACCACCATACGGATCCGATATGAAGCTTTTCGATTTTTTCGCTTCGCTCACAACATCACGAAACGACTTCGTTCTCATACTAGCGCTGTGCATTCGTTTAGCTGTCGCCCAACCAGATGCTGACCCATGCGACCCGTGCATCGCCCGCTGCAAACGAAGCTCTTCCGCTTGCACTGGATTCAAATAAAAACTTTGCGTAGCCCGTGCTATTCGTCGAAAACTATGATGTGGCTTATCTAAGCTCTGTGAGCTATGCTTGTGCGATGCCGATGTAATCAATTTCTTCGTCATCGCCACCGACGACATTGTTGTTGGCGATGTGGCACTTTCGATGGCATCCATTGCTTCAATGGAAGTGCTTTCCATTTTATTTCGGCTGCCGCTTCGCGAATGAAACACTTCATTGTCTAACGATGACTCGGCCGAATTAAATTTTGGACTGAGTCTACGTTTGGTACTACCACTGCCACCACCACCACCACTGCCTCCAGCGACTGTAATCACGTTATCATCTGATCCATCGTCGCCCAACGAATGGCACTTGACCGCGTCCACGATTTTCTCCTTTTTTATCTCATGGTGACGGCTACGATCATGAAACGATTTGTGCATACGACAATTACGTCGATTATTCCCTGTTTCCGTAACAATTGGTGGGGCCGGCGGTGGCAGCGAACCAATATCATCCATTTCGTATGGATAACCAGCGGCCGCTTGTGTATGACGCATACTATTTGTTCGCCTAGACATTAAAATTTCATCGGAGGTCATGTCATTTGAATTAAACGAATTGGCCTTACGCATTTCATACGCACCATACACGTCCAGCGTATCGGACCGGCGAATATTTGGTTTGCGTGACATTTGCGTTGTATGTGGATGCGTAAAATCGGAATAGTTATTCAGCGAATGATTGCTACCATCCATGTAAAATATGTTCGGTTTTCTAAATTCCTGTATGGGTGATGATAGTACGATGTGCGATAACGAGGGCGGTGGTATGATTAGATTATTATCAATTAACAAATTCGGATCGATTGTTACACCAGACGCAACTTGACTTGACTGCTGTTGCTGTAATGTGCCCGGTGCATAGTTGTCAACAGCCAGCGATAGTGTACGGTCACCGGTTTTCAATTTTGGCGCTTTTTTCTTAAACGATTGCACTGCCTCAAGAACTGCACGCGTTTCCGGATCCATTTCCCACCTGCCAACAAACACTTTCACTGAGTTTTTTTTTATTCGGATTCTGTTTTACTATTTGAGTTGTTGTTGTTATTAGTACTTGAAAAGATGAATCGGTGTCACACAAAAACACCAAATCCAAATTTTCGCAATGGAAGACTATTATTTTTACTATTTCACTTTTGATTCACGTTTTATTTTAATTCATTTTTTGTTTATTTCAAAGTTCGGTTCTGGTTTTGTGTAAATGTTGATGACGAAGAGCACATCTTCATCGGAGACCATGCATGAATAATTGAATATCTAAAAATTGAAAACATTTTTTTAAATATCACATTTTGTGAGAAAAAAAAGGTTCAAATGATTATGATCATAAAAATAAACCCAGACGGTTTTGATCTATGTGTATCCGAAAGTTGTAATGCAAATGCGTCAGCCCAAAAGCATGACGTGTTCGATTAGTGAATGGCATCAACAAATTTTCAACCAAGGTTGCTGTGTGCACGGCGCGCCACGGACAATGTTCGTAAATCAATTTGGTGTGTGTATCTGTGTGCGCTCCGTTTTTTTATCTTTGTGCCACTCTAATGAAAATTGATATGGCGGAGTGTCTGATGAGGAGTCATGTGGGTCGTCGCTTAAAATACACGCACACGAACCCAATCTAATGATTTCTGAATGGAAATTACCATAGTGAAAACTGACATTTTACAAATTTATAATCAGCTTGCCGAGCCATTGGATGTCACGCTCGGGCAAATTCCATATATGCTATTCTGCTGCTGACGAAGAAATAATTTAAAACGCAAAACTGAATTTATTACAATATTATTATATTTGCAAACGCATGGATACAGAACAAAATAAAGCAAATCAAACGCACAGCAGCGGCGACGGCGGTGGCTTGTGTGCGTTGTGCAAATTGTCGTATTCTTGGTAATTCATCGTCAGTATGGCACCAATTTTCGAAAACTCACGCGCATTTGTTGTAAAATCTCTTTTCTCTCTATGTTTTGGGATGAGATGTTCTATTCCACAAACCGAAATCAATAAATCACGATGGTTTCATATGCTTCACAGTATCCATTAATTTGAAAGAGAGACGCCGACTAGTCAAAGATAGAAAGAATAAAGAATCAGCCCACGAATATGAGGGAGAGAGAGTGAATTAACCTCAGTTTTCGTTGCTCGACGCCAAAGATGAATACGTTTATTTGAAAGGAAGCAGGCACACCATCAAATGTATGTTTTCCTCGCGTACACGTCGTGATCGCGTCTTTCGAAGAAAAAAAATCACCCACTCCTCCATCCGCATAGGGATATTTACTCAGATCATATGCCAACAAAGTTTGAAGTCAAGCCACTGCCAACATTCCACTTGGCTCTTTCTTGAGAGAAACAAAATAATACATCGTCGTCGAACATTCATTTCAACCACGCTGTTGACCTTTTTATGTGGGAGCGTCAGATTCAATCTCTCTTTCTCTTTGTCGAAAAGCAGCAATGGACTCACACGATTGCATCGTTATTCAAAAGAATATTTGCACAAAACAAAGGAAGTAGAAAGTTAAAAAGCAAAAAAAAGTTAATTAAATATAAACTTTTGGCAGGTTGAAGTTTAAAAATCACATTTGAAAATTTCACAGCTCCTCGCTTCAGTCGAACAAAAAGGCTTTGAATCCTAAGTGGTCTGTTAGGAAAATCGCAACACATAATTCGTGTCTACACTTTAAATGTAGCGTTGAAAATCCGTTGGTTGAAAATGACCCAATTTTCACAATTTTTGGCACTGTTAGGATTTTTACGAAATGGTTCGCTTCATTTTGCTCTCCTTCTGACAACCATCTCATTCTTATTTACATTTCCGTGCGTCCGATCTCTCTCATTTGCTCTCTCTCTCTCTCACACACGCACACACACACTGAGCACATTAACGCAAATCAAGTGTATTACTAAAATGACGGCGACCGCTTTCCAACCAGATTACAACTGAACAAACGGAAAACTTAGACAAACAACATGTTAAAATTCAAGTTGTGAAATAGCGATAGAACATGTAAAACTTGACGCCTCTGAAATGTGTAAACGGCACAATTGGGCAATGGGAGGGGGGAGAGTGAATAAGCAAAAACGAGAGAAAGAGCTTGTTTGAATATTTGTCTTTTGTTCGACCGAAAAACTAGAGAGCGAACATAGTCAATCGTATGGTGTGCACTCTTTGCTCGCATCTTGTATTTATCTTTCTTCAGTGAGTCTCATGTGTGGTGTACAAACTGATTTTAGGTGGTGTTTGAACTGAAATTGTAAAAGGATCGCTATCCAGCATACGCATAAAAAAAACGTCACCAAAAATACTCATTTTTCGAGTATTTAACTCACAGTTTCAATTTTGCACACACAGACACATACACATCCCGAAAATTTTCAAATGATGATGCACAGTGCACACAACCACCATCGTTACCGCCCCATATTCCAAAGAAAATACCTTAACTAGTCGAAGGATATGGAAATGAAAATGTTCGCCAAATAAACGGTTTTACACGCTATGGCCAATATATGTGTCGAAAATATAAAAATCAACAGCAGTTCTTTTGAAATTAAATATGCACAGCACACAAACACACACCAAGGGAAAGGGAAAGTGAGAGGCATGGATAGAAAATTGAATGTGTGCTTAGTATCTATTTAAATGCGGGCTTCGCTCAAATTATCGTCCGGCTGTAATCTTTGTGCGAAAGCAAACATTCTATCATTTTTTTTACTTTCTCAATCATTTGTGGTTATCGTATAACGCATTGATGGCACCGCATACTGACTTTATTCTTCGCCATGGAATTTATCTTAATTTCAATATAGTAGGGAATGGGGAAAAAATCCAATGAATGCACCATTGCGATAAAATGAGCATAAATCATTCGTTTCGCAGACGATTCGATGTCGAAAATAGAAAAAGCCGATTTTCGCGTCTATTGTATGAACAAACTTCTGCATTTAAAGTCGTCTAGGAAAATCGGCGATCGCTTTCTTTAGAAGTGTGCTTATAAAACGGTTATAGGTACAACGTTTGGAACGGTTTGGAAAGGATAGAAAACTACTTTCTATTGGATGTGAATGAATTTCATTCGATGAAAAGATTAAAAGAGTGGATTGTGTTTGCCATCTCTCTCTCTCGCTCCCTTTATTCCGCATTCAGCCGAAGAAAGTGGATGAAAACGCTTGAAAATCAATCACCAGAAACGAATTATAGTGCTTGTTTGGCTTAAACTTGGAAAACATGCGCGCAGTAAGTAAACAAAGGAGCGTAGAAGAGTCGATCAAACGAAATTCAATGATGTATGAATAATGTATGATTTATTTTAGTTTGGCGTTCTCTTTCTCTCTCTCTCGCTCGCTCGCTCGCTCGCTCGCTCGCTCTTTTGTTGTTATTACATTCATTTTACTATTGAAGTCTTTGTCGTTGTCGTTTTATACTCGTTTTATTTATGACTATGACTTTCTTCGAACAATTATTATACAATACAGTTAATTAAGCGGCTGTTCATTGGCCAACAGCGCCGTCGGCAATATTATTCGAATTAACTGTATTTTCGACGAATGGCTGTGCATAATTTGGATGCAGCGTAATTTCCTGCGGAACAACGACAACTTGTTTTGTTGAAATGCGTATGCGTGCGCGTTTGAGGTATTTATTGCGCCATTTGACCTGCGAGCATCAAACATCAAATGGAATGCGCTATATGATAAATTGTATATAGTATGCCCGTGGCCAAAGTGGACAGGAATCGAAGAGATTCACATTCCAATGTGCCAATCATTTAATGAAAAAAAAAACCCGTGTTGCCCATCGTAATTATTTGCCAATTACAATTATTGTGATCGGTTTTGTGTTTCAAATGAGGGCAAAAAAGGTATGCGTTAAATATGTGACATGTATTTATCTGTATACCCTCTAGTTCCGCAACCACACGATATTGTGCTGTGCTCTGCTGTGCTGTGACCATTTTGTGTAGGTTTTGAAGCATGGGAGCGAGCAAGAAGGTGTTAAGTGTGTGCACATAAAATTGATATCTTGCTCTCTCTCTCTCTCCCTCTCTCGCTCGCTCGAATTACATTACAACTGTTTCGAAATGATACGTGCATTCACATTTCACAGTTCACATTGTGCTTTAATATCATTCAATATCGACTTTCTTCGTGCTTTTTTTCGCATGAAATTTCGAAATTCATTCGCTTTTCCACGTATTTGCATGTTCTGGCGCTGCTGAGCATTCCGCATCATTTGATATAGTAAAAAGATCAGGACCTTCACATTAAATTAATATCAGTTGAATACTGCTTCTCATCACCTTTTTGAGCACGAATGCAAAGTGTATCGTTGTTCATTATTGGGTATCTTTCCCCCCTAACTTCTTTTATTCGATGATTCCATGCGCATTTTCTTCGATATCTTTCCTGTAATAGGAATACATAAATAGCATGTTGAAAATAGACGGAATTTCGATTTTCGGTTTTTGACACTTTTTTCTTCTCTTTCTTCCTCTCTCTCTCTCTCTCGCCGTTGTTTCCACATTAAATACCATCGAGATGATGAATAATACATTTTTTCTGCTCTCCATACAAAAGCAGCATTGCAAATTTTAAATGAAAATCAAATCAATTCGCACAAGCAAATTGAATTACGTGTTTCGCTGACATGAAAGTCATTTTTAACGTATTGTTGTTTTTTTTTACGCTTCGTTTCTTTCTGTCTTTCTTTTGCTCATCTATTTCTGTTTTGCTTGCAAGTCAAGTAAGATTGTTTCACTATCAGTCATTTTGCACATTTTGAACACGATAGCGTTTTTTGGCATTGAGATTCTTTTTGAAATCCACTTATAACCAGCGACATTGCCACTGTGTTTGTGTGTGTGCGACACACTGGCCTGTGTAATTCCAAATAACCAACCCGATACAGACACAGCCACACAGGACAATATTTTTGTCGACACAAAAAGGGCCAGGAAAAAAAAGCA